TTTCCACGGTATTTCCAGTAAGAAACGCCACTAACAACCAAGGATCTTGGTGACGTTGGCAGGCAAGCACTGGCTGAGGATACCAGCCCCGCAGTCCCTCATCCTGGCGATAATCACTCCCTGCCATTACATGGACATACCATGGTCCTTATTAATATATATATATATATAAATAGGTATTGCATATGCATATGGTATATGTGTGCGACGTGCATGCACATATGCATATACATTTAGATGGTAATACATATGTGCATGCAAAAACGCACACACACATATATATATATATATATTTATATATATACACGCCTTCCTCAGGTTTAGGCTAGCGCTTAAGGCCCTTAACGGGGCCGCACATCGATGGGCTTGAGGAGACAAACACATACTTGGTGATATTATGTATGCTGGTGTATACTTGTCACACATTTTTTTTCGAGAAAAGTGTACCTGACAAACAGCAAGCAGTCAGGGAAATGCATTGACGTCACTGGTCGCGTCCCAAACCCGATGCCACCAATGCGAGAGAACCCCAGAATTGGTGGTTAATAGGATGGTTGTATCTAATAGGATAGCAACAAAAATAACTTGGAAGCCTGGAACTATGAGGGAAACATCATCGAACTACCATCCTGGAAACAATGTTCTGCATCCTTTTTTATTTTTTGGGACCTCAAAATTCTGTAAACTCTTTGAGGACTCCACATCCCAGTGGGTCCGCAGGACTATTTGACCCATACAGCTGTTCCCTTTGACCCTTCACAAAAGCTTGGTGCTTTCGCTAAAGGGAACAGGAAACGAATCAAAAAACAAAACAAATACATACATATTATATATATAATATACATAATCCCCACAAAAAAGATACACAAACATCTTCTAAGCCATGACCACATCAGGATCGGGTCCTTGATCGACCCAAGTTTAGGATCGTATCAGAGCTGCCTGACGTTGCGGCTTACACGGGCCATTCAGGGAAGGCACGCCGTTGAGAAGCCACACTGAAAGCACGTGTCTCTGGGGCGGTTCATGGCTTTTCCATTCATACATGATTATAATTGTATATATATATATACACCCTTTATGTATCATATATAACTATATATGTAACTGGCTGAAGTGAGACGTTTGACAGGCACATACAAACTGGGATGCACGTCGAATTGCCCTCATTGTTTGTTGCTTCTTTTCTTGCAATCAAAGAATGTTCAACCATGTTGGTTTGTATCTCTGTTTTATTGATTACAGTTTGATTGATTCATTGATCTTCAATCCATTGAAGTACAAGGTAGGCATCACCACCCTAAAATGTTTGCTTGTTGTCCGTTTTGCTTCAGAATTTCGTTTGCCTTCACCTATGGTGCTCTTGGGTAAAGAAGGCCATGGGAACATCACCTTCTGAGTACTGATTCCCCAGCCAGCTTGCATTCAACCTGGTTTGATATCACCAATTTTGGCATCTCTGATCTGATGGTTACATGATTACACACCTTTTGGGGCTAAACATGTCAACTTGCTATCCGTCTGAACTCAGGACACTTTGCTATTCTTTGCTGACTTCGTGAGTGTCATGTTTGAGACACATATCCCAAGGATGAATCATCCACCTAAATGATACTTATACATATAATATATATATATATAATTTATATAATCATATATACACTATCCTGTATCTGTTTCTCTAGGTGGACTAGTCATCGCCAATCAGATTTTGTTCATCATTCGGCCACCACTTCCCCAGCCCAACCCATCCTTTACGGATCTGCTCCAAACTGAGCTCGTTGGTGCCCACCCGGAGGCTTTTCAACCTGGCAGCCACTGGCAGCTGCCCGCTGTGCAAACCTTCCACTAGTGTATGGGAATTAATCTAGGTAGGAAAGCAACACAATTCCTAAACCATCCGAAGCCCTAAAAAGCCCATGGAAAGCATCTTCTTTTCGGCTTGACCTGTGGCCATTGGAACAAACCAACTTGATTAGTTCTCAATGGTGAAAATTCAAAAGGCGGATTTATAAATATATGATCATGATGATCATGATCAATACATATCAATACAATAATAATCATTAGCTGGTTGGTGGTTTCAACCCCTCTGAAAAATATGAGTTTGTCAGTTGGGATTATTATTCCCAATAAATGGAAAGTCATAAAATTCCATGGTTCCAAACCACCAACCTTTTTTTGTGTGCACAGAATTCCCCGCAAATTCCCACGAACTCGACCGAATCGACCCACGAACTCCCAGACATTGACCAAGCTGCGATGGAATCTTCGCCAAATGTTTTCCCAGAGCGACGCCAGCATCTGCACCGCTGTCCTGGTTTGAAAACATATCGCTGAACGGAAAAAAACAGGAAAGCTTACTGGAAACCACAGTGAAGGACATATCAATTTTGTTTTACACGATCTCTCCATTCAATCTGATTGCTGTTCTGAGTGAACATCTAACATCCCCACATGGATCGTGATCGACCAATGATTTATATGACGTTTTTAAGATGGTATAGTCCAAGTTTTGGGGATGGGGGATGGAATATGATGGAATCACCACAGCAAGACGTCACTTGGTCACACTCTGAAATGCCGAAATGCCAACAGCCAATCCAGCTCAGTGGTGCCAAGATGCCCAGAAACCACTGAGATCCAGATGTTTAAGTTTGCCACCTGCCAGTACCTGACCAAGCTCATCATACAACCTTGGCCATGGTCACGGTTTTGCAGGCTACGGCAGCTATGGCTGCTGGTCAGTTGGTTACAAAGGACACCCCCACTGAACAACCAACAGGCAAATTATAATAGGTAAGCCAAACCGATCCATTTACATCAATTTACATGATTTTTCTCTAAAGGGCATTGTTGCTGCCAGGTCAAGTGTATGGTACACAGGTATCCCGGTTTGAAGCCATACTTGTTCTTTGCATCTCCTCTTTTTCGACAACAGCATTCAAGAGTTCAAACACATTCACCGGAGCAGAAATCAGTCAAGCATCAGTACCACTTCCATTTCGCACATGACAAAGTGAGATCTAACAGCATGATTCTTCTGCCCAGCATTTACAATACACATCCCCAAATCAAAAGAGGTGCCTTGAACATGTGAACAAAAACAGTCACATATATATATATATATATATCAGTATTCTGTACCTTGAACAATCGCATGTAATCATAATATGAGTCTGAGTAGCTGACAAAGTTATGTGTTAAACTTAATGCCATGCACAAATTCGGGCCGTCCCTATCGGTTGTGAGGGTTTCAGTACTCCTGCAGGTATCACAGATGGGGTATCGGTATAGGGTCGACCCTATCGGTTTTGAAGGTTTTGTGCAACCTCAGAAAGGCCAAGGCGAAGCAAGACTGAATTAGTATTACAATGATGTATGCCAATAATTTTGTCAGTTACTCATATATTGATATACACTATCTATAAACCACATACAAGAGTACCTCCAATTTCCGGGTTTAGGAGTCATAGACCCAGGTACGGTCAGATTATATATCTACCATGCAGTAATCGAGCACGGTTGGGAAATCCTTTTTTTGGAGGCTTTAATGGAAACATATAATAACTAGGAAGAAAACATCCAGACATGGAGGACTTTGCAGCAAACCATGGAATATCGGAGGCTACCTGAGGACCTGGCTTAAGGGGGGCAATGAGAAGTATACAACAGTCTCAGTAGATTCCACAAAATGGATCAACCAATCTGAAAAGTGAAGGCATCATGTACCGTTGTTGGATATAACGTGGAAAACGCATTTGGGGCTAATCTTTTTCCAACATAACATAATCCCATTGCTGCGGGTAGACCCAATCATGAACCTCTATTGGGGATTATTTACTATTGGATTTACCACATTACTGACTTACACCATCTTGGCTTCACGCATTGAGATGGTCCATGGTCGCAAATTGCAAGGCTTAGAACATGTTAGAAACACCTCCCACCCTCTGTTATCCAAACACTTTCATAGAATAAGGCCGCACCATGCACAACTTTTTTTTACATAGACCCAGAGCTCTGGCCCGCATGTTAGCACAGGTATGCACCTGTTCATGTCGTCCCAGCGAGGCGCTGGACCACATTCTGCAAATCGGAGGCTAAAGCCTCGTCAGGTTCCCACGCATGTCGTCCCTGCGTCCCTGGGACCTGCTTGGACCTCCCAACCTGTCAATCCTTGGCTTAATTTGGGGTGAAAGCTACGCACAAAAATATGAATAACTTCCACATGCTCGTTGCTTGTCATTCTGGCAAGCCATGGTGAGGAAAAGAACACGACATTTCAAGAGTTACCAGTTCCCACCATCCCTTCCAACCTCAAAGAAGCCTCTCAGCCGGAAAAGAAACTGGCTGGATGCGAATCAGTTCGCAGCTGTGCAATATATTCCAAACAATCTGCATGCCACCTAGATGGCTTTGCAAGAACTATGGCAACTTATGGATATGAACCAAAAGCCAGGATCCCATAAAAAAACCATTAAAAACCCATAAAGCTGCTATGATAAATCCCATGAAAGTCCAATGGTCCCATATCCCAATAGACCCATCTCGATCCCATCCACCTGATTGGCCAACTTGAAGACCTGCAGCTCTCTTTGGGGATAGCGCAGCAAGAGCCGCACCAAAAAGGCGGCCTGGATCGAGCTCGAGCTCGAAGACACCAGAAATAGGTAATGATACACTTAACAGGTTTAATGATTGAATGAACTACTTAATAATGATAGCTTAAATGGCTTATGGAATTTATTTATGATATCAAACAAAAATACAACCATGTGCGAAGCTCGAACAAAGTCTGTATTTATGATACATTAACCTATATTTATATACATTTTATGGATCTTTATGGGTGGTTATAAACCAGCTTATGACTGGGATGGATGATACTGGTTGGTGACTGGGATTCCCAGCTCATGGGTTATGACAATACCCAGCTCATTGGCTAGTATACAGTAATCCCCAAACATCAACCAATAGGGGTTTAGCAGCGCTCATCTGGAGTTTTCAAAGGTTTTGCCCAGTTGGGGTCCCTCAGCCAGAATACAAGTTGTCCATCACATATTTTCCCCATATCTTCCAGGTGTCCAAGATATTTTCGGGCATCTTTGTGGTGGAAGACCACCCCGCGAATCATCAGCTAGATCTACCCTGGTCTATGTTCCAAGAATTTCAGTGGCTTATTCAATACACAAATGGCTATTGTAAGACTAGCCAGTTGAAATTCGTGGGATGATCCTCCAAATTCTGTATTTTTGTTGCTGGCGTTTTACTCCGCTCTCTTTGGGGGTCGCGAAACTATAGGGGAGAACACGAGAAAATAGTATGATCATCAAGGGTCTATTGAGGATACTGTTTGTCGTAATTGTATGAAAATGGAGATGCACCTGCACAAATATCACAAATAAATAAATACAAATAATTAATAGCAACCACTTCGGGCAGGGTGCACCCACACTTGTACTGTCAATTGTACAATGTGTTTTTTGTTGGCTGTGTATGTGTTTGTGTTGCTTTACGAATGTGGATGTATATTGCATGATATATTTATATAAGTAAACCATGTATACAAACATACATGATTAAACCATCATCGAGCAACACATATATTGGATGCATGTTCCAAACAAAATCAGCTCGGGGTAGGAACCGATGGTCTTAAAAGGCGGCATGACCCACCGATTTGAAGCAAGGCTCTCCACCAGTGGAGAGGAACGGTGCATCAGGTCGTGCTTGATAGTCCTCAAGGAAGGTATGTGCCCCACAAAGCTTTCGGATGCGCAATCTCATGAGCATTCTGCAGCATTCTGATTGAATTTCCCACTTCTGTACCATGTATAAGTGCACCTTTATGTCTGGTGCTTCATTTTTATAATATATATATATATACAATTATCATGATGTCTATAGTCTAGACTAGAGGACCCTGGTGGGCGCCCCAAACTCAACATTGAAGCCCAACAAACCAGAAACAAAATAAAACACATGTTCTTGGAAAGCGACTTTCTCGCTGAGAATTGGCCCATTTAAAATTCCCTGCTCACTATTCTCACTATATTGCCCATTAAAAAAAATGTCAGCCACAGTTCCGCATTGAAGAAGTATGCGTCATTCTGCAGCTCGAACTGTACCATATCTTGACGTCGAACTGAATGTAGATCTACCTGACGTGGATAGCTGGGTATTTAATCCCATTAGCTGCCTATATAATAATATAATATAATATGTATATATTGTATATAAATATATATATTATTGATTGAAGTACCCAACCAGTTTTTACATGTTTTTACATCCTGGTCGTAGAAGCTCATGGCACGTCCATGCTGAGAAAGAATCAAAGGTTGGACCATCCAAAAAACCAAACATCTGCTTTGCTCAGATAATCATGAAGGAAATGATATATACTCCGGTAGGACTTAGATGAACTTAGAAAAATCAAAATTAACGGTTACACCCTCCGGTAGTTAATCAATGATCCTGTGAGCAATCAGCTAACACGAACAGTGTTTACATAAAAATTGTCCAAAACAAACCGTGATCAAGCTATAAATCATGATAAATCATGATAAATCATGGATATTGTGATCATTTTCCAGCAACCCAACCAGTGAATATGACTACGACATCGACCACGTTGCTCCACAAATCTGTTCCAATTGAGGATGTTTTGCTGCGACCTGGGCAACTTGAAGCTGGAAACCATGATGGGACAGTGGGTTGTTTCATCGTGTTTCCTACTGAAACGTCTTCGATTTTTTCACAATATTCAATATAATATATGGACTGGACAATTCATGATAATATATGGATAATATATGATAACATGGTAATCCAATACGGACTACATAATATCAACCATCCCAGTTTCCCATCATTTCCAGAGGTATCCCTGGCTGAGATCCCATTGGGATCCAGATCCAGTAACGGATCTACTGTATATCTGGGATGCCTTGCTCACGAAAAGAAAAACAACAGGGGCAACAGCACACATGTACTAAAAATAATAAATGACACCAACAAAAACCTAGAGCGATCTTCAAATGTGATCAAATGTGCATATCAATTTGCCAGGTGTTCTTTTGCTGGAATATATGTTTGATCTTACCCCCACACGCCAGTGATCACATCTTTGGACTTGAACGTTCCGTGCCGCCAACCATTGCCCAGGACAACTAGGGACCAGCAAACCATTATATCATTAGGACGAAATTGTGTTTTGCTGGGATTCCCATGCTACACATTGCTACGCTATGAAACTCATAGTGACTCATAGTTTTAGTTTCAAAGATTCACAGATCGTTGATGTTGGGTGTCTTTCCTTTTTTGCAAAACATGTTTGTTGGCGCATCACTGCGCTAACCATCACCCATGGTGAGATCAAATGGTGCCGTTCTAAGTTACACAGACATTGTTTCCACTTTTATAAAATAAATCAATCGTTTTCAATTTCATAATGTCATTCAAAATATACATTTGACAAATTCCCATGCAAAAAAA